CTCGAACGAAACGTCGGCTCACACTCGCTGCTTGCGTTTCGTTCGAGGTCGACTTGTGGCAAGTCTAGGCAGAATGCTGCCACTTAATGAGTTAATATATTCTCAGAACAATTACCATCAAATTTAATCTATTTTGCTGGCAAAATTGCCTTGGAGGGGGTCCTTGATTTGTTGAGTCTTTTTTTTTTGGCAGAATAGCAACTGGTTTCAGAATAGGAAGAATTGTTGCAATATAGGTAATATAATTCTAAGACAAATCATCCAAAGGAAGCAATCATTCTAGCTCTTGTGGTGTATGTTGCAACAGGGATGGATTTACTGGGGGGGGGGGCTGTGCACTCCCCTAGCCCTGGCCAGAGGGGGTGCACGGGGGTGCTATTTTTCATGATAAAGCAAAAAATTATTACAGGCAAAATGAGATACAGTAATTTGAGTAATAACATGATGATAAGTGAGCTGTGAACAACAATTACAAATCAAATACAGTAGTAAAGCAAGACTTTGCAGTAGTGAAGCAAGTTGATGGGCGGGCGGCACACATGACCAACACAACTCGGCACCAGAGCTGGCAGAGCAACCCCACCCCACCCTACCAGATCATGCTGGATCCATCCATGTGTTGCAAAATGTATTTTCTTTATAGTCAGGCATTCACATGAATGAAGATTAGAATTTCATCATGTTATATAGTCTTAAATATTTAGGAGGGGTCTCCATTATTAAATTTAGAGATTAAAAAGGGGTCCCATGACATTTTGACATAAGAATCTCCCACGCCACCCTAGGGTATAATGAATGGTCACTTAAAGTACATGCCATCTTCTAACTGGTTGGGCACTTTGCCCCTTTTGTGATGGAAAATCTATTCCCTACCTTTATCCCCTGGGACAAAAAATTCAAATCAACTCTCCACCCTGATAATGTGCAGATGGTAACAGCAAGAACTGAAGCAAGCAAGCTTTACTGGAGTACATACTATTATTAGGAAGCATCAATTCGGACATGCTAATTTGCCAGTCATGATTTTAAACGTAATATTTCTTATCTCGTATAGAATTCTTAAGGTCTTTTAGTATTCCAAAGGTCGTAGGTTCGAGTCCCACCGCGGCCGGGCATATTTTTCAAGCTTCAAGCTTGCCCGGTGTGGATATACACTCAGAGTAACATCACAAATATCATATCTTAAGGTCTTGTTTACATTTTACTGGAAGCAAACTAAAATTCATATCCAATATTTGGGTCATATCACTCATATGTCAGTTTTGCAGCTTGCCAGCTTCAACAACATTTGGTTGCAAGGAAAACGTAAACAAGGAAAGAGCATATAACACTTCATCTGTGTTTAAAATATCAATGAATAAGTATTCCAACCATTGGCACTTTATAATATAAGTGACATTCAACAATAGATCAATAACATATACAGTATATGCAAAAGCATTTCTTTGAATCACTGTATAAACAGAGTCTTTGGAAGGGTAAAACCAAGTTTAACATCCCCAGTTCAAAACACTTTCCGTGTCCTCTTAGGCAAGCCTGTCCAGCTGGAGAACATCTGTCGTATATTTCAATGGCTGTTAATTTTGTTTAGCGAACGAACGATATTTACCAAACCCAGTTGGAAGAACAGCAACTACATAGTTCCCATGTAATAAAAGCTGAAGAATCTGATTTCGAGTACGTCGGTAGCAAAAAGAAGGAAAAATTTCAAAGACTAAACGCATTTTTAAGCCGCTCTAAGCACTTAAATTTTGTGGACACTCTTAGGTTGGCGGCCATCTTGGATTTTCTAATTCATTATTATTATAATTTATTACACCCACTATATCTGGGTGTTGAAAGTCATGTGACCGGCCGGTGCCAGGGCCTTTTCCCGCCTTCCCAATGACAAAAAGGGAAAAGCCCTGGGAACGAGGTTGTTCTGACCGGTCTGGCCGTGTTAATGGAAAGCGCCCCTTGATCGCAATGATACAAGAAAGGTAGCATTCCACATCTAAAAGCTTGATCTTTATTGGTATGAAAGAAGTAAATGGATAAACGTAATATATAATCCACGACAACATGCCTAAGGTGGATTACCTTTTTTTATACAACCTGTATTTCCGAATTCCGGGGCCACAGTTTTAGAGGTTTTTTTGTTCAAAACACATAAACATTTTAAATGTTTAAAATTTTTAAAATTTTATTATTGAATTTAAAATTTTTATTATTGAATTTAAATTTTAAAAATTTAAAATTTTTAAAATTTTAAAATTGTTAAAATTTTTAATGTTTAAAACACATAAACATTTTTAATTATTATAAATATTTAAAAATATTTATAATAATTTATCATGTAATAGTCTAATAGACCTTTCCGCAGAAAGAGCGTACAATAATGAGTGCATAGATTTAGTTGTATAGAAGTCCCAAGAAAGAAACTTCAGATTTTCTTTATTGAGAACCAAATAACCAATCGCATTAATCGTTTACAAAGATCAAGCGGTACACTGGCTTCCTGGGAAAGGTCTATTCGGACGTATAACCACGCGAAATATGACAGTGTTCTTACACTGATGTATGTAATAGATTCTAATTTTATCCAATCATATAGGATGGTTCGTGAACATAATGTATGGCGTGACATTCAAGCTACTGTTAGTACTGTATCTGTCTAAAAGCCAAGTCAGAATCTCGACTGCGCATCCAAATGACGTGTTCTGCGTCGAGATAAATTGCAGTTGAATCATAACATGTGTATATACCATATATATATACCATATATATATTATACAATTACTTTATGGTTGCCGTGTTTGGATGGCCTGATCCAAACACGCGGGAATGTTGCGAGAGTTAAGAAAAGCGCCGCAAAGCACGAGCCGAAGGCGAGTGATTTTGCACGCTTTTCTTAACTCGAGCTAGAAACATTCCCAAGTGTTTGGATCAGGCCATCCTAACAGGGAAACCATAAAGTAATTGTTTTATAAAATAACAACAACACGATAGTCTTCCGTGTTTGGATGGCCTGATCCAAACACGGGTTTCGACCAGTCAGAGCACGCGTTATATACATGTTATTTTATAAATATATATATATATATATATATATATATATATATATATATATATATATATATATATATATATATATATATATATATATATATATATATATATATATATATATATATATATATTGTGATTAAATCCCTAGCGAGTCAACCGTGTGGGAAACTAATTTTGTTTTTTTGGCAACTTTTTGCATATTCAAATAATGATTGAACAATTGAATATTTTGATATGCATATTCTATTCTCCAGTCTCAGCTACATGTTATATATAGTTCAACTGCTATTTATCCCGACGCATAACGTATCATTTAGATGCGCAGTGGAAAGTCTGCATGAATTGGCTTTTTATTAATAAAATAATTCATCCTCAACAGCAGAATTGTCAGTTTGGTTAACTCCAATGTGGTGATTGAGTGTAGTTACCCACGAGGTTCGGAAACAATGTCTTTATTTCAAATGGCTTGAAGAACTGCAATCTATGGCTATACAACATAAAAAAGAAAACACGAGTTTGTTTGTAATGACTTCATTTTACATGTCACACAGACTAAGTAGTAAATGTGATCAAATCTATTTAAATGAATGAATGAACGTACTTGCTAAACAACTTGTCATTACCGGAAATTTTATTCAGATTATCAGCATTATATATTGGGCCCTTGTCCATCAGACCTAATATTACACTACCTGAAGGCCTTGGGCTTGCATGGTAACCTATATCAAGGGTGAAGGCACACCTTTCTGTCTATAAAACGTTCTATACTGTGTAAGAATTTTTTTCTTGCAAGGAAAATTTGTCGAACTTTTTTACAGGTGTATAGAAGCTGTGATGAATTTGTTTCTGTACATTCCATGTAGTTACAGGTATTTTTTCTTTCCCTAAATGGTCGCATGAATTTTCTCTTTCAAATTCCACTCTTTGCATGAAACTTTTTGGGGATCTCCCAGGATATCAATAATGGTCCACCCCTAATTAATAGATACGTTCTCGATTACCCATCAAGCAGGCTTTTAGCCAGGGTTCTGAAAGAGGGCGTCCAATCTAGGTATAACGATACATCTAACTTTTCGTTCTAGGGCGTCCCAGGACGCCTGGACGCCCTTCTGGCTAAAAGCCTGCCATCAAGCCATGGCGCATATATTTGGTATTTACCATGCTTATTGCTTAAAGCTTATATTAAGTTTCATCTATATAAGCGTTGAGCTCCCTTACTGAGTAGGTTAACATTACAGTGCGTCTACAGTAAGTGGGGCCACTTAGAGAACACAAACCAATCACATTGCAGAACAAAAATTGAAACAATCAACAAACGGCGCATTAGCCAATCAGCATTGGGCCAAAAACAATTTGAACAAATAAACGAATGTCAAACGGTAAAAATAGACTTGTAAAAGTAAACACTGCAGTTAATGGCTTCCTGAATCTTTCTTTTGATTGGACGAGCTTTAATTTGATTAGATTTTTCTTTTTGTTCTGCAATGCGATTGGTTAGTGTTCTCTATAAGTGGCACCACTTACTGTAGACGCACTGTAAAGTCCTTATAACTCATTAAGAGGAAAGGACTTCACATTGGTTTCACCACGGTTTCACATTCCATGAAATTACATTTTTAATAATTTCGGCAGATTACTTACAAGTTTGCTTGGTCAAATTCTTTAGTTGCAGGGTATAGAGCTTCATATTGCCTTGCCTCTCCTGGACCATGAATAGCATAGGCATTCATCAACGTTACATTAGGCGGTAGGTATTCAACAGGAATCTTCGCCTCACCACTCCACTTTTCACCAGTTCTCTTTGCAATAAATTGCAGTTCTAATTGATCCTAAATACAGATGCAAGATAAAAAATAAGTGACCATTATTAGAGTGTGTGTCCCTTAAGAGGCCGCATGCTCCGGATAGTATCATCTTGGAAACTCAAAAAATGAGTTGTTGAGCTGCTATAGTAAAGGATTGTTCCCTTAAAATCCAAAATTTCCGCCTTGGTGCAACCTTTCGCTGAATTTGGCACCAACATGGCTGCCATTTTATTCTTTTTCAGTTCCGAAGGGATTGGTTGCAAGAATATAATGAAAAATCACAATAGCTGATTTCATATTAGAAGATGGACTTCATGCACTCTGAGACGGGAAACTCGTCCAGATATAAATACGGTTAACAACGGGTTTTTCCCCTTACTTAATTTTAGTTCCTTAACATGATCAAATTATCAGAGTACTAGGCTAATATGGTAGAAGTACGTTAACATGCATGCTGACACATATATACTTACGCATTATAGTATACTGCAAACTATTGAGTATTGCTCGGATTCTTATACCTTAAAAATATTTTTTGTTCCCTTCAACATTAAGACTAAATGTTGGCCATGCCTAAAAATTAAATATATATATTGGTTAGTACTCCACATTACACAATAGGCAATTCCAGCTTTTAATTTGTGCGCGCAGGGGGTGACGGGAAGTAAGGTATCATATTGCTGATCTGCAGAGCTGGAGATCACATTTGTTCTGTAATTCGTTATACGTAGATAGTCACATTTGTATTGTATTTTGTATACGTGACAAATTAATTAAATATAAAAAATTATATTAAAGTACGGTTCAGTACTTTATTAGAATAAGTGTTAAAAGAAGAACCATGAATTAATACTAGAAACTTACGGACAAAGCTCTACTTCCAAGTACTTCACATCCTCGCCAAGAAAGAAAATTTCTACAACTAAAGTTAAAAACTATAATACTAAGCTAAGTGGAATGAGTTAAGACATGCATTTCTACTAAACAGTAAAAATTGCATCTTCGTGACACAGGAGGTGATACCGGCTTATATCTCGCTTATACAGTTATTGCATGAGGTTTTTGTGATACACAGAACTGTCAACGTAAGTGTTATCAGTCGAGCTGCTCAAGCAGTGAAAACGATATAAGGGACCGGTCATTAATAATGGGGGGGGGGGAGGGCGGTGGGTGATAAATACTAAATATTGAACATTTTAGAGCCGCCCCCAATAGCAAGATCATTATTTTCAAGACGCCCTCACCTTCATCTACAAAGTTTAGGATCCCCCCCCCCCCACTCCAACATTTAATTTGTTACATTTTCTGTGTAAAATAGGTAATGGGACAAGTACTGGTGTAAGACATTGTGTAGTGAAAATAACTAGAGGACCAGTATTCAAAACGGTTGTTATTTACTACGACTCCTATAGTGAACTGTATATACGTAATAAACTATGGAAACTACGATTCAGGAACTAAAAAAGGCGAAATATTTTGTGGTATACGATAAAGGCGAGAGATTAAAAATAAGTAGGAAAGTATTAAAAAATTGGGGTTGCCCCTTGTCACATATTTTTCAGTTTGAGGCCGCCGCCCAATTCAGGCAAAAATAGTTGAGCAACCCCCCCCCCCCTTTTCTCACCACCCCCCGGCCCCCTCCCATTATTAATGACCGGTCCCTAAAATATCACAATAACTCCATAAAAATAATAGAAAACTCATTCACCTACTAAAGTTCAGATAAAAAATATAAAAGGTCTGCTTTTGGCGCCACAAAAAATTCACAAAAACGCCGTTCGGTCATGTTGTTTTTTCTTGTTTTTGTTCCTGCATGTATTTAGAACGTAACTGCCGCTTGCATGCAGGCTATATATAAAATTACATACCGCTGGCTCAACCTACACATAACTCAGTCAGTTAACTGAGTATGTGTATAGGTTGCATGATTTCTCTATATTTAGCTGTAAGCTATATTAACCAATCAAAACGCATGCTGCGACTAGAATGTACAGCAGTTTTTCACTGAATGCAATATGGTGAATGATCCTGGAAATGAAGCTATATAGGTTCACACGACACTGTGATTTGTCGGGCGATATAATGAAAGTATTATGTTGTAAACATCATGTGATGTCTTTCCTCTGCAAACATTTATAGTGGTGGAAAACGTTATATATGTTTCCAAACCTTCATAATCCCAAAGCTGTGCACATGGTTTCCCAGCTGGTGAATTAGGTTCTCCAGGATCATTGAAAAATGGTGCATCTACCTTTACAACCAAATATTTGCCGTCAACGCTTGCAGATAATGTCAGCTTGACTGGGTCATGTGATTTGATAGCATCACCATTCCATGTATTCTCAATAAGATATTCCTAACAATGAAAGGTACCATTCACATACTTTAAGTGACTTTAACAGTTTCTGCATGCCTATGGCAGACTTGCTGTAAGGTTTAACAAAAATTGAATTGGTTACGCATTTCACTAATCTAGCGGTTCTTTTGCATGCACGGTTCTGACAATTTCTTCTCATTTATTTTACATATTCTTTGAAAACCTGTCTCGTCACTTTTGTAGATTTCTAGTGCTTTCAGCTTTCGGGCCGTTCTTTTCCACTATTTTCTCAATTTCTTCAGTTGAAAAGATCTCAACAACAGCTCAACCAAAAAAATTCCCGCAAATTTGTAATTTCACACATAACACCGTATATAACGGGCTACGTCCAATAACCTCTACAGATAACTGTTTCTGCTGAAAAAGAGCGCGGGCACCTGCAAATTAATACCAAAAAGTTGATTTTGATAGTAGATACTTCTGCTCTTTCACATATTTGACGCCTGTCACCATATATTTGTCCCTCCAAACGATCCCAGAATGCACTGTGATCTCTTTTGGGAAAAGGCTAATTTTCTGTAGGCATTTAGCTGGAATTTAGCCAATGAGAACAAAGTACAATGAATTATAAACAGTTATTAGATGAGATTTTGTGATATCCAGAATTGTCAAGGTAAGTGTTATCAATCGAGCTGAAGACTTAATTACCGAGACCTTGATAATTCTGGATATCAAAAACCCCGAATACAATAACTGTTTAACAGATAGATAAGATTTTGCCGTTCTCTGTTTCAGTTTTTTGATACACAGTATGACGTCATAAGGTGGGAAGAACAAAAAAGGGCAAAAAGTGGCTCACGAGCCGCCGAGGCGAGTTTTATAATAAAAAGAATTAACCCGAATTAGGTAAATACTAAATACTTAACTTTTATCCACCGACTCATTTGGAAATTTGAAAAAGTCGAAATTTTACAAATATCTCGCGTACATGATCAAAACAAATAAGGGAATGCTATTGACTACCTTAAGTTACGTCATTCCGTGCGCCTGTCCTCCAATAGATCATGGCTCTCGACCAATGAAAGCGCTTGAATTCTTAATATTATTATATAATTTTTATACAATGCATTTTCATTAATAATTCTTTCGACCAACAATGATTTGTCGCACAAAATAACGTTTGGTCCTCAAAAAAAGCGACGGAAACGATTTAAAATATCACAATAACAAACAGCATAAAAATAATATAAAAAATTACCTACTAGAGTTAAAATTGTCAAAAAAGGTCTGCTTTTGCACCAAAACGCTGTTCGTTCATGTTGTTTTTTCTTGTTTTTATTCGTGTATTTAAAACTGCTGCTTGCTATATTCGCTATATATAAAATTACATACCGCTGGCTCAACCTGCATATAACTCAGTTATCTGCTAGCTGTTGCGTGATTTCCATAGTTAGCTGTAATCTACTGGCCAATCAGTACAATGTATAATCATAAAGGTTATCTGTAAGTCAGTGCTGTATCCTCAAACATTCCTGAGCAACAAAACATGAATCAAAATCAACCACAGAATCAACCTAGTAGTAGTATGTCCATGCGCCATAAATTGCATCTTACTAAAAGTGCAGAATTATCCCCACGTACAATAGCTTACTGTAGTTCACTCTGTCTTTTGTTACTTCTCATTTTTTACTCGGTAAGTTTCTCTACCTTGCCCTTACAAGGGACATTAAATTACAATGTTGTGCCCTTCCACATTCTGAATGCATTTTACACGTCCATTCACGTTTACTACAGTAAGCGCAGTGACGCTGCGCAATAACATGACGTGCCATTCCACAATGACTTGCAGGCACAACTATTGGGTGACAAAAGTAAGAATCATACCTGTAGATTCTATTTTTGTGGAGGTAGCCAATCTTCAAATGGAGCTAGGCCATGCCACATTCTCGTACCCAGAGCCCGTCTTACACGCGGTCAACAGAGCATGACAAGCAGTGGCGTAACTACTATGGGCTCAGACCGGGTGAACCCGGGGGCCCCCAACCCAAATGGGGGGCCCCCAGGCGTAGGCGATAGGGCAAAAACATTGGCCAGGGCCTCTGATATGTTACAATGTCGTTTTATGACCATCAGAATTCTGTAAAATCTCTCCCCAAAGTCCAGGAAATGGCATTTCAGAGAGTCTAGATTCAAAAATTTTCCGGATGACCATGCCCTGGACCCCCTAGAAAACTTGTGCACATACGGCGCTCGACTCGTGCCTTTGGCACTTCTATTAGGGGGGCCTTCGAAAATTTTGAACCGGGGGCCCCTTGATATAACGTTACGCCACTGATGACAAGGGGTCGAGAGAACGAGAATGGGTTGCGCCGCATGCAACTGCAGATCAAAATTTAGCCTCTGAACGAGAACAAAATACCAAGTGTGCCGCTAGTTATACCCCTAACTAGCTCCTAATGATTTTTGGAGTTAGCAACACAGCAAGTAACTTCAGGCTTACCTACCTAACGGCTGGGCTGGCTCACCTCACTACACACACTCTTTGAAGTTAGGCAGTTAGCCCGTAACTCAAGGTTTAGATACCAATTTTTTCACTGATGCTTTTTGGAGTTATACCTAGCTCCAAATGATTTTTGGAGTTAGCCAGTAACTCCACAATTCATATTTCAACTCAGTTAGTTTTGAATCACACAAGTTACTCAATCTTTTGGTTTGGAGTTAGACCTTTAGACTTTGGAGGTAGCGTCGCTCCCATAACTTCCTACTTATTACAGGCATTGTAAGAATAGCTATCATGGTGGGTAAGTGTACTTATCTGACAAACAGGGCTGTAGCGAAGACGCTAAAGCAGGGGGTAAGTAAATGTTTTTAATACGAGAAGATAAAAGTCATATCTTCAAGCCATCGTGTAATGTTCTGTTTATTATATAGTCCCAAACAAAAGATTGTGAAATTTCATGCTCAAAAGCAAATTGGAAAAGGTCACGTGATCGATATCTTCACTGGTGAAGATATGGAAAATATCTCATGTGTATTTTTCAGTATCTCACTCTCTACTATATAATAAATCTTAGTTTATACAAGTTATATAGGCTACCTTTCATCAGGCGATACACATGATCACTCTATACACAAGATTACTGTTGGTAATGGCTGGAAATGAATTTTCCTGGCAGGAAATGGGTTTATAGATTCACCCCAAATAAAACAAATGCTCCATCTTTCCACCTTTTGAACTTCAGTGCTACTGTGTTTTCCCTATACTTTTATATAGAAATTTCAGCAATGACATGCGCCAGAACTTGCACAGTCACACTCTGTGTGGCACATAGAAATTATGTGAGATAACAAAAAGCATGTGACTCAAACGTTCCAACAAGAGTTTCAGATCAGCATATAATTTAATCTGTGATATACATGTAAGAATTATAAAAGTTCTGTCAACTTAAAAGAGTGAGCGGAAGGCTTCAGCATGCTTCCCAACCTCGTTCCCAGGCTCTTTCAAGAGCAAACGAGCCTGGGAACGAGGTTGCATGCTTCCCTAAAGTTATTTAAACAAGCTAATAAATATTGAACCATGCTTGGGCCAGTTGGGTAAAGGGTGAATTAAAGTATTTTAAATAAATAATAAATCAAATTAATTTATCTGGTAATTAAGTTACCATCTCCCCAGTATATAGGTTTTACATTTCATATTATGGCTAATCTTAATTTGGGAGATAATGGTTGATGTATTCATAAACATATCTAATACCACGCAGGTCCTTTTTAAATGTTTTTTGCCAAATACAATGGAATGATATTTCAAAAACTATATATAAGTTGTTAAACACATTTTTAGAAGGATTAAAAGTTTATTGAGGTGATTTATAAACTAAGGCCGCAGTGCTTTGGTGCCTCCATGGTTTGCCAGCTCCCATCCCTAGAATCACACTCGTCCCTAGTGACTCGTTATCTGAATTTCAATTTAGTGCAATATTTAGGGAATATATATATATATATATATATATATATATATATATATATATATATATATATATATATATATATAGACAAGTATCGAGTTTGGAATCATATATGACTAGAGTGCTCAATACCGTAGTAGAGCTGATAAGATTAGAAGACAAACTTGAATTACTTCATATGAACTTTACGTTTCGTATACACAAACCTACTCGTATATATATATATATATATATATATATATATATATATATATATATATATATATATATATATATATATATATATATATATATATATATATATATATATATATA